GATCTTGGCCTCATTTTGGGTGCCCCGTTGGGTCTCGGCCCCGTTGGGTCTTGGCCCCGTTGTGGGTGCCCGGTTGGGTCTTGGCCCCATTGGGTCTTGGCCTCATTTTGGGTGCCCTGTTGGGTCTCGGCCCCGTTGGGTCTCGGCCTCATTTTGGGTGCCCCGTTGGGTCTTGGCGCCGTTGGGTCTTGGCCCCATCGTGGGCACCCGGTTGGGTCTTGGCGCCATTGGGTCTTGGCCTCATTTTGGGCACCCCGTTGGGTCTGGGCCCCATTGGGTCTTGGCCCCATCCGCGGGTGCCCGGTTGGGTCTTGGTCCCGTTGGGTTTTGGCCTCATTGTGGGCACCCTGTTGGGTCTTGGCCCTGTTGGGTCTCAGTCCTGTTGTGGGCGCCCTGTTGGCTCTTGGCCCCATTGGCTCTTGGCCCCATTTTGGGTGCTCCGTTGGGTCTGGGCCCCGTTGGGTCTCAGCGTCGCTTTGGGCGCCCCGTTGGGTCTGGGCGCGCCGTTGGGGGTACCTCATTGGGTCTTGGCCCCGTTGGGTCTTGGCCCCATTGCGGGCGCCCCGTTGGGTTTTGGCCCCGTTGGGTCCCGGTCCCGTTGTGGGTGCCCCATAGCGGGCACCCCATTGGGTCTTGGCCCCGTCGTAGGTGCCCCATTGGGTCCCGACCCCTTTGTGGGCACCCCATGGCGGGTGCCCCGTTGGGTCCCGCCCCCGTGGTGGGTGCCCCATTGGGTCCCGCCCCCTTTGTGGGTGCCCCACGGCGGGCGCCCCGTTGGGTCCCGACCCCTTTGTGGGTGCCCCACGGCGGGCGCCCCATTGGGTGCCGCCCCCGTGGCGGGCGCCCCGAGCCCCTGTCCCCCCGCAGCTCGCTGGGCGGGAAGCTCCGCGTCGGGCTGGCCGAGCAGTCGCTGCTGGTGGCCTTGGCCCACGCCGCCTCGCTGACGCCGCCCGCGCAAGGTGGGTCCCGCGCGGCCCCTCGGGGGGCCCCAGTGGGAACATGGGGCGCAAGGGGCTCCGTGGGGCGCTGTCCGTCCCCCAGGGTGGCCGCCGGCCGTGGTGGACGCCGGCCAGGGCAAGTCGGCCGAGGCGCGGAAGGCCTGGCTGGAGGAGCGGAGCCAGATCCTCAAGCAGACGTTCTGGTGAGTCCACCATGGAGTCGCAGGGGGTTTCAGGTTGGAAGGGACCTCTGGAGATCATTGAGTCCAACGTCTAGAGATCATTGTGTCCAACCCAACACGCTCGAGCAGGGAAACCCATCCTTGAGATCCTCAGAATCTCCAAGGTGGGAGGGGACCTCTGGAGATCATCAAGTCCAACACATTCAGACCAGGAAACCCACCCTTGAGTTCCTCAAAATCTCCCAAGGATGGAAGGAACCTCTAGAGATCATTGGGTCCAACACATTCAGACCGAGAAACCCACCCTCAAGACCCTCAGAATCTCCAAGGTTGGAAGGGACCTCTGGAGATCATCAAGTCCAACCCAACACACTCAGACAGGGTTAACCCATCCTTGAGATGCTCAGAATCTCCAGGGTTGGAAGGAACCTCTAGAGATCATCTAGTCCAACATATTCAGACCGAGAAACCCACCCTCGAGACCCTCAGAATCTCCAAGGTTAGAAGGCACCTCTAGAGATCATTGAGTCCAACCCAACACACTCGGACAGGGTTAACCCACCCTTGAGACCTTCAGAATCTCCAGGGTTGGAAGGAACCTCTAGAGATCATCGAGTCCAACACATTCAGACAGGGAAACCCATCCTTGAGACCCTCAGAATCTCCAAGGTTGGGAGGGACCTCTGGAGATCATTGAGTCCAACCTTCCTGATGTTCAAGGTTGGGAGGGCCCTCTAGAGATCATCCAGTCCAACCTTCCTGATCTCCAAGGTTAGGAGGGCCCTCTAGAGATCATCCAGTCCAACCTTCCCGCCCAAGCAGGGACCACCCAGAGCACGTGGGTGGCGCCCAGGTGGGCCTGGAGACCTCCAGAGGAGGAGGCCGCTGCAGGCCTCGCCACGGGCCGCCTCTTCCCTCGCAGCGAGTTGCCCAACTACGACCTCCTGGTCCCCGCGCTGCTGGAGCACGGCCTGGAGAACCTGCCCCGGCACTGCCGCATCACGCCAGGTAGCGGGGCGCCCGGCGGGGCGGAGGCCGCGCGCGTGGCCTCCACCGGACCCCCACGGCCTCCCGCAGGGATCCCGCTCAAGCCCATGCTGGCCCAGCCCGCCAAGGGCGTCGCGGAGGTCCTCAAGCGCCTCGAGGAGGCCGCCTTCACCTGCGAGTACAAGTACGACGGCGAGCGCACCCAGGTGGGTCCACGGGGAGCTCATGGGGGTCCCCTGGGACCTCCCGGCGCCCCCATCACCGGCCTCCGCTCCGGCCAGATCCACGTGCTGGAGAGCGGCGCCGTCTACGTCTACAGCCGCAACCAGGAGAACACCACGTCCAAGTACCCCGACCTCGTCGCCCGCATCCCCAAGGCGAGGACTGGGTGCCGTGGGGTGGGGGGACACCCCGAGTGTGGAGGGGGGTCCCCCGTGGAGGGAACGGTGGGAACGTTGACCTCGGACCTCGCCCGGAGCAGGTGAAGAAGGAGCACGTGCGCTCGTGCATCCTCGACGCGGAGGCCGTCGCGTGGGACGCGGAGAAGAAGCAGATCCAGCCCTTCCAGGTGCTGATGACGAGGAAGAGGAAGGTAAAGGCGGCGCCGGGGCGGGAGGAAGAGGCGCCGTCCCCGCCGCGAGCTCAGCGCTAACCTCCGCGGCCTCAGGACGTGGAGGCCGCCGCCATCAAGGTGCAGGTGTGCCTCTACGCCTTCGACATGCTCTACCTCAACGGGGAGGTGAGTGGTGGCCTCCGCGCGGGTTCCTCGCGCCGCGTCCCGCCGTGGGGTGACGTGGGGACCCTCGTCCCGCAGTCGCTGGTCAAGGAGCCCCTGTCCAAGCGGCGGCGGCTGCTGCGCGAGGCCTTCGTGGAGGCCGAGGGCGAGTTCCTCTTCGCCGCCTCCGTGGACGCCGGCGGCGCCGAGGAGCTCTCCGAGTTCTTGGAGCGCTCCATCAAGGGTGAGGCGGCTCCCCTGGGACCGGGCGGACCGGGAGCGGGGCCCGGTGCCCACCGAGGCCTCCCGTGGCCCTCGGCCTCTTCCCCAGACTCCTGCGAGGGCCTCATGGTGAAGACGCTGGACGTGGAGGCCACCTATGAGATCGCCAAGCGCTCGCACAAGTGGCTGAAGGTAGAAGCGCCCGTGGAGGAGGGGGGGACGCGGGTTTGGGGACCCCCCTGAACCCCTCCTGCCCAGCTCAAGAAGGACTACCTGGAAGGGCTGGGCGACACGCTCGACCTGGTGGTCATCGGCGCCTACCTGGGCAAGGGCAAGCGCGTGGGCGTCTATGGGGGCTTCCTGCTGGCCTGCTACGACGAGGAGAGCGAGGAGTACCAGAGCATCTGCAAGGTGGGTCCCACCATCACCCTGGGGCGGGTCCCACTGCGCCAAGGTGGTCCCACCACCCTGGGATAGGTCCCACCATGGCAAGGTGGGTCCCACCACTGTGGGGTAGGTCCCACCACCCTGGGATAGGTCCCACCATGGCAAGGTGGGTCCCACCACGCTGGCGTGGGTCCTACCACCTTGGGGAGGGTCCCACCACGCCAAGGTGGGTCTCACTATGCCCAGCTGGGTCCCACCACACCCTGGGATGGGTCCCACCACCTTGGGACGGGTCCCACCATGTCAAGGTGGGTCCCACCACTGTGGGGTAGGTCCCACCACCCTGGGATAGGTCCTACCATGCCGAGGTGGTCCCACCACGCCAAGGTGGGTCCCACCACCCCGGCGTGGGTCCCATCACTCTGGCATGGGTCCCACCACACCGGGGTGGGTCCCAAGGTGGGTCCCACCACCCTGGGATGGGTCCCACCACACCAAGGTGGGTCTCACTATGCCCAGCTGGGTCCCACCACCCTGGGATGGGTCCCACCACGCCAAGGTGGGTCCCACCACACCAAGGTGGGTTGATGTTGGAGGTCCCCCCCACAACCGTCCCCATCTCCTGCAGATCGGGACCGGCTTCACCGAGGAGAACCTGGAGCAGCACTACGGCCTCCTCAAGGTATCTGCGCCGGTTCCCAAGAGGAGCCGGGTGCGTGGAGGCCGGGGCCTCGCGGAGGAGCCGGGTGGAGGCTGGATCCGGGTGGAGGCCAGAGCCTCGCGGAGGAACCGGGTGGGTGGAGGCCAGAGCCTCATGGAGGACCTGGATGGAGGCCGGCCTTGTGGAGTAGCTGGGTGGAGGCCAGAGCTGGGCAGAGGCCGGAGCCTCGCAGAGGAGCGGGGTGGAGGCCAGCCTCCTGGAGGAGCCGGGCGGAGGCCGGAGCCTCGCGGAGGAGCCGGGCGGAGGCCGGCCTCCAACCCGGCCTCCTCCACCCCCTTTCTCGAGGACCACGTCCTGCCCCGGCCGCGGCCCTACTACCGCTGGGACAGCGGCGCCGCCCCCGACCGCTGGCTGGAGGCCGTGCAGGTCTGGGAGGTCAAGTGCGGCGACCTCTCCATCTCGCCCGTCTACAAGGCCGCCGTGGGGCTGGTGAGCGCGGGGGGCGGGGCGCCGCTTTGGGGGGCGCCCCCTGTCCCCCCCCTTGGCTCCATGTGTCCCCCCGGCCCGAGGTGGACGAGGAGAAGGGCATCTCCCTGCGCTTCCCCCGCTTCGTCCGCGTGCGGGAGGACAAGAGGCCCGAGGAGGCCACGAGCAGCTCCCAGGTGCCGCTTTGTTGGGGGGCTCTGGGGTGGAGGCCGCGGGACAGCTGGGGTGGAGGCCGTGAGCTCGGGGTGGAGGCTGCGGGATGTCCGGGGCGGAGGCCGCGGGCTCTGGTTAGAGGCCATGGGATGTCCGGGGTGGAGACCGCGGGACAACCGGGGTGGAGGCCGCGGGACAACCGGGGTGGAGGCCACAGGACAACCGGGGTGGAGGCCGCGGGACAACCAGTGTGGAGGTCGCAGGCTCCAGGTGGAGGCCATGGGATGTCGGGGTGGAGGCCACAGGCTCTGGGGTGGAGGCCGCGGGACGTCCAGGATGGAGACCGCAGGATGTCCGGGGTGGAGGCCATGGGTTTGGGGTGGAGGCCACGGGCTCGGGTGGAGGCCGCGGGACGTCCAGGATGGAGGCCGTGAGCTCAGGGTGGAGGCTGCGGGCTCGGGGTGGAGGCCCTGGGCTCCGGGCGGAGGCCGGGCCTCGGCGGAGGCCCCCGGCCTCCCCTCCCCGCCCGCCTCCGCAGGTGGCCGAGCTCTACAGGAGGCAGCAGCAGATCCAGAACCAGCAGCTGCCCGAGCAAGGGGAGGACGGGGGGTTCTGCTGAGCGCGGCCTCGGCCTCCGCGCGGGGCCTCCAAACACGACCCCCCCGCGCCCCCACCCTGCGCCCTCCCGAGTCTCTGGCTGCTGTTTGGGGGGCACCCCGGGCCCGGGTCTCGCCCCTTTCCTGGGCTCCTCGCGTGAGGAGGAGGCCAGCCTCGTACCCCGCTCCATCCTCGGCCTGTGGAGGCCCCCATGGGCTGCGGAGGCCCCATGGCCTGTGCTCCATGGCCTGTAGAGGCCCTAGGACCTGTGGAGGCCCCATGGCCGGTGCTCCGCAGGTTGTGATCCACGGGTCGTGGAGGCCACACGGGCTGTGGAGGCCCCATGGGCTCCAATCTACGGGCTGTGGAGGCCCCATGAGCAGTGGAGGCCCCATGGGGTGCGATTCAGGGGCTGTGGAGGCCCCACACGATGCGGAGGCCCCATAGCCTGTGATCCACGGGCTGTAGAGGCCCTAGGGCCTGTAGAGGCCCCACCACCTGCAATCCCCAACCCAGCCTCCCCGAGGCCGCGTAGGAGCCTTCCCTGGAGGCCGAGGCCGTGTCCCCTTCCCCAATAAACACCGCCCCGGCGGGGGGGCCGCCGACCGCCTTTATTGCCCCTTCGCGCGCGGCGCCTCCGGGCTAGGGCGCGCGCGGCCTCCGCGCCTTGTAGACCTCGATGAGGAGGTCCTTGACGTACTGCAGCTCGCGCTCCACGGAGGCCGCCTCCTCGCGCAGCTGCCCGTTGCGGGCCTCCAGCCTCCGGCACTGGGCGCCCAGGGCCTCGGCCTCGGCCCGCTTGCGGCGCCGGTAGCGCAGCGCCGCCGTCTTGTTCTGGTGCCGCTTCTTCTGCCGCCGCTCGCCCGCGGAGGCCGGCGGAGGCCGCGGAGGCTCCGCGAGGCCGGGCGGCGCCGGGGGGCTCAGCGGGAGCTCGGCGCCCCACGGCGGGGAGGGGAAGGGGTCGGCGGCCTCCCCGAGGAGGCCCTCGAGCTGCTCCAGCTCCCCCGGGAGGAGCGAGGCCGCAGCCTCCGCGGCGGAGGCCGGCGGCGGCTCCAGGAGGAAGGGGCAGAAGTCGGCCCAGTCCGGAGGCCACGCCGGGAAGCCGGGGCCTGCGCCGTGGGGCGGGGGGTGGAGCTCTGCCCCACGGCACCCCCCAAGTCCTGCTCTGCCCCCCAAGTCCTGCTCTGCCCCCCACTTGTCCCGCGCTCCCCGTTCTGCCTCCTCTTCATCCTCTACCCTCAGCTTTGCCCCAGTCTGTCCCAGACCTCCCAGCTCTGCCCCACATCTGCCCCACACCTCCCTGCACCACCAGTTCTGCCCCACACCTCCCTGCACCCCCAGTTCTGCCCCATATTTGCCCCCCGCTTCCCTGCACCCCCAGTTCTGCCCCACATCTGCCCCACACTTCCCTGTACCCCCAGTTCTGCCCCACACCTGCCCCATGTCCCCTCCTGCGTCCCTTGCCCCCCACCCCTGACTTTGCCCCATACCCCTAATTTTGCCCCATACCCCTAATTTTGCCCCATAGCCCCCAGCTCTGCCCCACATGTGCCCTCTCCCCTCAC